GTGAGGTTAGCCATATGGAAAATCATATTAGTATGAAGCTAAATAAAGTCACTGTTTTCGTTCTCAAAATGGAATTCAGAAATTTGCGCAGTTATAAGTGAATCGGTTTGCAATCGAGTTCCATTTATCAGGTCTGACTTCAGCAGCAATGGTAAAGTGCTATCTAAATTTCATACAATGTTAGACTCAGAATTCAAGTATTCATACATTCTATCTCTCTCAGAAGTGGTCTGAATGCAGATTTACTAGTCTCAGTCACTTTTGTGTTGTACTCTAGGTAACTTCTTTAACAAATACTTACGTAGTTATATTGTAGATATCATGCTAGAAGTCATCTTCCAATTTAACTAATCAGTGAAAAGCACAACATTCTGTGTGATTGCAACTGAATTTAAGTTTTACCATCGTCATTGTTATTGTTTTTCAACTGTTGTGATGAATTAACTACTAATTCAATGTTTCTTTGTATCCTTATCATCTTCGGAATCAAAGGTATTTACATGTATTTTCTTTTGGATCGTACTGTTTACTAATAAGTAATTTAGTTTATTTGACATAATTTAAATTAAAAAATATCTCTAGGTTTCAATAGTTCTAAAGTGTATCTTCATGGGGGAAACAACAAGTAATGTGATGTGGAGAGAAAGATACAATGCCTCCCATTCAATGCGTTTTCATAATATTTCTGAATCTGATTCCTCCGGTACAATATATTTTCATGATATATCTGAATCCAATATCATCGTTGCTTTTATATCAGTTGACGAAGATGTGAACAGAATGTTGGTGATCCCAACACAGATTTACCCAGTAATGGCTGCTCAAGTTGTTGATCATGCTCATTGTGAACCTATTTTACAATAACTAACCAAATTTATCTGGGGTGATTTGTCTCCACGTGTCACATGTCATGTGTTAAAGCAGTATTATCAACTATGTCAGTCGCTATCCATTCTAAATGACTACATTATATGTCGACAGTGTGGTCGTTTCAGATAACTTACTCTCATCCATCCTGCAACAACATCATATAGCATACTCAGGTCTTTGAAGAGTGAATTCTATCCTCCGGATCCATATGTTGATCTAGCTTTGATGAGTACGTCGAAGAGTTAGTGAGTATATGCAGAAAATGAGCTTCATTTTCAAGGGAATCCCATTCTCGGTCATCTACAAATGAACCTTGATCGCAAGTACATATTGATTTTGTTATCCCATTTCAAGGTACCAATTTCTTCGTTTACGCTGACGCCTACTCTAATTGGCCAGAGATTTTGCCCGTAAACGAAATCACTTTTCAGGACATTATTATAAAATTACGACAGTTATTTTGCCATTTTCGAGTTTCAGCTGTTCTTGTATATATTAGTTGGCAAACGGATCAAGGAAGTAACATAATGAGTAAAAGATGTTTTACTTGAGTTTAAATTACTGAATATTAGTCGTATTTAGTGTTTAATATTCATCTATTTGAAAGTAGGCTGACTTCATATAGAAAACTTTTGTAGTCTCAGACTACTTCATAATTTAAGTCTCCAGTTTATAATTTGATACCTTACAAATATCCTAAAACTATAACGGCATAAATGACTAACATGTAAGCATAGACTTCATGGTGCTGACTACAATATAATGAATTTACTTCAGGTTAAAAATAGTTTTGAACCTGATCTGTCTTCGTGTTTACTTTATTTTCTGTAAAATTTACTCAGATGTAATACGTGATAAATAATAATCATTGAATTAATCTTGCTTTCGTTTGATGCGTCCATGTGAACGTGATTCTCAGAATTTAACGCTTTGTTTCATTGATCGACGAACTACATATAGTTGAAAGAAGCATCATTTTAACGAAACAAATTATTATGAACATACTTTACTCCAACCATTATTATAGTTTTTAGTAATCAATAAGATTTCAAATAATCATAACCCAACCTAAAGTTCACTTGATTTTATCATGGATAGTTCTTGCGTTCTAGGACTATCGATAGCCCAAATTTCTTGAACATCATATAAGAACTGGATTAGAAGAAAGCAATTGACTAATAGTTTTAACTTTATACTGACTACTGTACTTCTGTTTTATTAAACTCGAAGAAATTTGTATAACTACTGAAAATAATAAGTTTGACTAAAACATATAATTAATAAAGTACATATTGGACTGACAATGGAATAGGATTTCAAGTAGAATAGTGAATTCTGATATACTTAAAAAAGTTGTTGTAACGGGTGTGACTGCAGGGTTTGATACGCAGCGTTATTATCGATCGCTTCTGTGACAGTGACACGTAATACACGTAAGGGACGACCTAGTGCCCTGATTGGGCCTGTTTCGCTGTCTGTCCTAGCCAGTTGAGTCAAGAACACAAGTCACAGCCTCTGAATTATGAATCATTGTATTTCAAACATACTCTATTTATATACCAAGCGAACAAACCACACCGTACCATAAAACAGGAAACAACATTTGTACAATATTTAACAAGTGAAGTAAACATCGACCAATAAGAAATGTACATTTAAGGTCCAAGGCCACCGTAGACTTAACACAATAACTATTGGTATATTTTTCCGACTATCCTAACAAAAGTATTTCAAAACTAAACGAAATGATTCTTTACTATTAAAGTAAATAAATACCAATGGCTAATTTCACCTTTTTTTAATTTTGTTAACAAGCAAAATTAGTACCGTTAATTTTGGAAATTGACATATTACATATTACTCAAAAGATGTTTTCATAAAGCCTCATGATTTCATTATTTTCACATTTACAATCTCCATAGTGTTAACAGTAATTCATGTTTTGGTCTGAGCACCCAGGCAGTATCACAACGCACACACAAATCAAGTGACTTGTATGGCACATATGTATTCATTGCTCCCTTGTATCAAAATTAATGTGTTCAAATAAATAAATAAAAGAAATCAATGAACTACAATTCTTGATAATGAATGCATTTCACTGTTATATTAACAATTTATTTGTGCTTAGCAAATGATCATGAACTTTGATAAGCATTACAATAATTTGATAAGTTTAATGGATTCTTACACATGTTTTCATATTTTCAAATATTACACAATTTTTTCACTTTAATTACAATTACATTTAATGTGTGCTATGTTTGAAGCGATTACGATGTAGCGGTAAATAAATCCCCAAAATAAATAGCTCTTTAAGTCTTCAATATTGGATGCTGACCACATTAGTTTTAATGGACTCACATAGCTGAAGGCGCTCGGTCATGCATCCTTACGAAATCACGAGTGAGAACGCCATGCCCAACATCCCCTGCAATCGCTAGCCAGATTAGATCACACGGTCCTCGATATGTTGATAGTCTATCAAATATATCTTTGAACCTCCTCGCTTCAGTCTTTTGATTTCACTAGTTGGGTACGATTCATATTAGGTGTTACTAGTTAAAGCGTTGTAAAACTCTGAATACCTGTGGCATCTTCATTGGTGAGCCTAACGTGATCTGGTACACCATGTTGCAAACTGTGAGTCTGTTCCTTTTTGCGATTCTATATATCATTGCCTTATTTTAATTTTTCACACATTGTGATATATATATATATATATATATATATATATATATATATATATCACTCCTTCATTCGCGTACTTGATATTTCACCATGACTCAACAGACACTCAAGGTACTTAAGCTAAAGACTATGTCCCCACCTTCGTTTCAAATAATGCCTATCTGACCAGACAATATCGAAGCCTAGTTCTGCTACTCAGAGGCAGACTTCTACGAGCACGGCATGAACGACACACATGCACAATTCCTCGCAGTAGTCAGGGCACTACCGCACGAATTCAACAGGTACGTAACACCTAGTATATTTACTAGTGATGTTTCTGAGCCTTGTGAAACACTTAAACGATCTATCGTTAAACGTGAAGACCTAACTGATCGACAAAGGTTAGACAAATTCCTTGATAATATCGACCTGCAACACCGTTCTGTGCAGACATGTTGCAAAGAATCGGATAGTTTATCGACCGAAGAACTTTCGATGATGGCCTATTCAAACAACATTTCTTATCTAAACTTGCTCAACAGGTGCAAGCTGTGCTTGTCTCGTTTCAAAACTACGCCGTAGACGAGCTGGCTGCATCTGCCGACTGCATTTTAGAAATCACGAAATCCTCTGATGCCGAGATTTCTTCAGTCAAAGAAAGGCGTCGAACGACACAGGATGACATAACAGAGTTATGTCATACTTACACGTTATCTTAAATTTTGTAACGACCGTAAACGGTCACATACCCCTCGAAGAAGCACTTCACATAAGCGATCTGTCTCCAAACCACGAGAAGGATAACCCCGACTGGTGCTGATATCATAACCAGTATGGAAAATCTTTCAAAAATTGCAGAAAACCTTGTTTGCGAACGGAACTAAGACTCTGTAACCAAAGACCAATAAGCTAGATATTTCTGATACATTCCATCCCCACTAACTAGAGAGAAGTCCAAGTTTGGAACGGGGAAGTATATTCCGCAATTATCCAAAAGCACGAGCGATACCAACCAGTCTAGTCGGAAATACACTCATTTATATATTGGTTTGTACACCCATTTCCGATTAATAATCACAATAAATCACATACATGAAAAATAATTCATACAAAAATATCGTATATTATACAGAATAAAATGTCATAGGGGTAAACGAAACAAATAGTATACTGTGTGATTATCAAACAGAATTAATGTTGAATAAAAATCATAATGAATAAATCAATCAAATTTTGTCCTTTCATTCCATGTAATCATTAAGCTAATTTAGAGTAATTTCAAAAAATACAATCTAATAAATGAAAGTAGTCATTTTTGGTTCGAATCTTTAGCATGATAAAACAGATACATGAACATATCATCTCATGAATATACAATAATGTATAAGGGACGTTGACAACTTTCATCATTCTTAATTTTTTTTTAAAAACAACCAGTAACTGTTATTTTTTTCTTTTTAGATTCTCACGTTCATGTTTTTGTATTTCGCCAGGAATGGTAGTGAACTAAAATTGATTTTCAATATAAAACAAAATGATTCAATCAAGTTAAAATATTGAAACTTTATAAGGTATTCAGAAGTTAGTACATTTATATTCACTTGTTATTGTTTTGCTTGTATCTTCTCATTAAGGTTTAAGACTACAACTGATCAGTCTGTAGCTGAGTGGATAACGCGATGGTGTTTGAAGCGAATGTTACTGTGTTCGAGTCCCATAGTGAACATCAACTCTGAGATGCAGGTACATCCAGCTGACGAGTCTCAAATAGGATGAAATGCACGTCTTGGATTCCACTGCTAAACACTATCCATCTTTGTTGCGTACATTTATATTTGATTTTATTGCTGTAGCCATCGTAAGTACATCTTGGATGTGTGTATTCTCAAAATATTTACATGTACTAATGCTTTTATAAGTCAAGAGCATTATCTATGATTGTGGTTATTAATGGAATTCAGGATGCTTGTTTCGATCTATCTGCAACTTGTCAGTTAAATGTAACTCTTTTCTGATATTAATATTCAATCCCCGCTCCCATCGTTTCAAATGTTAATTTAACATCCATTATTCTGATGAGACGAAAAGTCGTGTAATTGATAGAACTATCTGTTACTGAGTTTAATGCTAGTCTGTAAAAATATTTTATCAACAACTCATATGTAACCTAAATTTTGAAATGTTTCTTAAAATTTGGTTAGATGTTTTTGAAAAAGATACAAATACAAGATTTCTGTACACCTATAAATGCTTCCTTCTCAATAAACAGTAGTAGCCTCTACAACTCTATAAAATTGAAAGTTTCAAGATCAGGTAAAAGAAAAAGTTTACATTTTCGTGAGCCTTATGATTACAATTTATTTATCAGCAATCATTTACTCATAGATTAATTTTCACATGCTTCAATATACTTCAAATCAACACATTAGTAATCTCTAAAATACAATTATTTGATTATGAATAAATCTGTCAACATGTCTTCGATATGATACATATAATTTCAAAGCTTCCCTAAACAACTAATTGGACATGTCCTCGAGTAATTTCCGGCTGATTTTCATCTTATGCAATTTTTTATTAAAAGGAGAACATGTTTGAAGCTTATCTTGTTTATAAGCCTTCTCCAGTCTTTACACGAGAAATTTACTTAAACGGAACCATTAAATGTCAGTTTGTTAGCTACTCATCATTGAATTATTATTTAAATTTACCATAAGGCGAATATAGAAATGTAACATCAACTAATTATACAATAAAGGATATAAATAAAGTATTCTGAAAGTTCCACCTTTTCTAATATTCATCCCATTTTAAAGCTTGGGGAGAATGGTGATATATGTTTGTGGCAGTCTCATAGTTTTAACATGAGTTTCATAGTTGCTAAATTATGGTTCTTGAATGTAGTATTATTTCACCAATTAAAGTTTATTACGGTTTGTAATCCCTTTATGACAATGGTTTGACTCATCAATAACATTGACTGTAGTCACTTAATCAACCATTAAATAGTTTATTCCCTCTAATACGAAATCCACTTAGATCGATCACAGGAATATGTAAACATCAAAATCTAATTTCTTTCACCCTGATTAGAACTAGCAACTAAAATGAAGAACTAGTAATATCTCATAATAACCAGTATATTTCAGTGTACAACTGTACCACTTTCTAGTAATATACCGAGTACTCATGTTTATTAAAATATAATGTAGCTAATCAAACAGTTAGTCTACTAGGACACTGTATAAAGTTTTCTCAAGATGTATGTCCTTTAAATTTAAAATTTCTGTGTTTAAGACCATGAAGTGTAAAATAAGTTTTTGTTGCTATCATGGTTACTCTACTTAATCAAATTATGTTAAAATAATAGAAATCGAAGTTTTACTTACATTGCTGAACATATTGCAACAAATAACATCGATGCGCATACAAGAAAGACAGCACCAGGAAAGTGTGAAAGAGTAGCTGAATAAACCAAAGGTAAAGCGCTTACACTGATTAATAGGCCGATTCTCGATATGAAGGAAGCGAATGAAAGAATCAAACCTTCAAAGGATAATAAATAAGATAATTAGTGATTGTTAAAATCATGGATCAACAATTTTTCCGGTTTGAAAGCACTGTATATGTTGACCAGATTTCACATTATGTCTCCGTTGAAGTGAACATTTCAGTGAGACTACAACTTGTGGACAAACCAATTAGATTTAGGATAACAGGTCTCGGATTTCGGAGCGAAATTCATTCATCTATTTGGATAAACAGCGTCTCGGCATTTTAGCTGATGTCAGTTCGTGATGAAAATCCTAAATATAATTTCTAACCCTACCCATTAAACTTTAATCATAATCCTTATACTTCACACAACTTTATAACCCTCATTAAACCTAATGAGTATGTGGACATTCTCAAGGTCACTTTAGCGTCGCTCAAAGACCCTCCATAAATTATAGTCTCACCATTATCTCACATGACACTTGAAAAGTAATAACATGATAGCAATCTGATCAAGTTTATGTTCGTTATGAAATCATCAAGTCAGAGATAATTTTTCCTATTCTCTATAATTATTTCTCATAATTCTTATTTATCATATCCATGATCACATCACTCACTAGCCTTATCTCTGTTTCCAGGTTATTAAAATATGTATTTTAATTAGCTGCGGTAGGTTTAGATTTCTAAACTGAACACTAACTATTTCATATCCATTAGGTGTTTATAAATAAATGACTGTGACCAGTGGGGCTAATCAGTGTCGGGTAGAGACAGGTATCTACTTCAGTACAATTGAAAGATGATCACGCAATTTTGTGGATTGCCTGGCGGATTCAGTGGTCTATAAGTTAAGCGTTCGCGCGTGCGACTGATAGTCCTGGGTTCGAATCCCGTGAGCGGGATCGTGAATGCGCACTGCTGAGGAGTCCCATAGTAGGACGAAACAGCCTTTCAGTGCTTCCAGGTTTTCAATGGTGGTCTAACATTAATCGGTTCATTATCTCAATCAAAATGATAGGACATCGAATTGGTTTCCTATTACCTTCATTCACAGAAAATTCACTGAGTTGCATTTTTTTCGAAATAGAAAATGATATCACTTAATGATCTTCTATAGTTGTAGTATAAAATTTTGTTTTATTGTTTTTTAGAATTTAGTACGAATTTCTGGGTTTCATAAAAAAATGTATCAAAAAAGTTTATTGGTATCATTAGATATTATGAAGGTAGAGAACATATTTGTGATTTCTAGGAAAACTGCATAAATATTAAAAGACCTATAGCTGACTGTAGTTTTGTTGAATTATTTGATCCACAGTTGTTTACTATTGTTATAAAATGTATCATGATAATAGGAATCTTGAATATTACTCTTCAGAGTTTTATATTGTCTATATCTGTTATTTACAATGTTTGGTAACAAATATTATAGAAAACATGTTATTCATTTTAAAAATATGCATAGAGATTTAACTTGCCTGTTCGCTGAGTCCCACTCCAATTGGTGATCAGTGTACGCAATAAAGGGAAATTAATATTCTTCGCTAGTTTCGGAACTAAGCCTGTAAATGTAATAATACATAAGATATTTACCATGATTTCACAATTATATAGCTGGTACTAAACCTTCCCTATACAGCTACTAACTAAATTTTCATAAAACTGTTAAGTGTTTATGAATCATTTTAGCAAATAATCTGAGCAGTGTTAATCAAGATCATCAATCGATCAATGTTAGACCACCGTTGAAAATGTGGAAGCACTGGACGGCTGTTTAGTTCTAGTATGGGACTCTTCAGTAATGGTGATCTAGCATTGATCGATTCATGATCTCAATCAAAAAGAAAACAATTTCCATAACTTCATACTGATAAGCATAATTATTATTTTTTTAAATTTTCAATGAGAATGTAACTTGTATTTAATAGAAATACAAGGATTTACTTATTTGGTCACTTAACAAAAATTGCTTTTATTCCTACATGATTTCGTTAATAAGTTGTCTTTCAGCCACTCCAAAATTCATTTAATCCTGCTAAAAGTAGGTAGATCACAACACACAGCTATCACTACGACTGTATAAGTTGTTAAATATCAAAATACTATCACTGAGATCCTGAACTTCCTAGGACGAAATGGCCGTCCATTGCTTCCAAGCTTTGATAATGGTCTGACCTAGATCGGTTCGGGATTTTACTTACTTACGCCTATTACTCATCGTGGAGGAGCATAGGCCGCCCACCACCACTCTCCATCCAACCCTGTCCCAAGCAAACCTCTCAAGCTCTTTCCAGTTATTCATCCTTTTCATATCCGCTTCTATTTTCCGACGTAATGTGTTCTTAAGCCTTCCACTCTTCCGCTTTCCTTCAGAATTCCAGTTTAGGGTGTGACTCGTGATGCAGTTTGGTGATCTCCGTAATGTACGTCCTATCCAATCGTCCTTGTGCATCGATGATGCTTCCTCGGGATTTTAATTAAATTCAACAAGCTCCATAAACCCATACTTACAATTAATCAAGATGCTTTTGGGAATATATTAATTTGATAAAATTACAATACTTACCAATATAAACAATTATATTCGCTGTAAACGATGAGAACAAATATGCTATTGTCATCATAATTCTATTTATTAACATTAAGCTTAATGCAAATATTAGTAAATTGAACAACGTATTCTGAAACTTAAAATTGATTCTTTTTTCAGTTAGATTATTATCGTCATCATCATTATCATCATTCAATTCATGATTGTTTTTATTATTCAAACTTTTTGATTGAGATAATTGAATTGTTGCCAGTATGTTTACAATAATTATAGATAATAATGCTGAACATGCTTCTGTTATACCACTAAATGAATAGATAGATGGAAATATTGGAATAGAATGAATACAATAACACAGAACGGTTATGAAAAATATGTTAAAAATATCATTGTGATTATTAACTAATTAATTAATTAATTATCCTAGTAATTTCGTCTCAGAACAAATTCTGAGTTGTAAGTGACCTACCTAGCAGCAAAACGGATCACGGTATGAGAAACGAACTGCTCGCTCGAACAAATTAAAATCAACAGGTCTTCTTTTCTCAGTAGCTCCAACTGCATTTACCAATTTACATGTACGTGCCAAAGCACATACATTGGAAGAACCGAGAAAAGAGTACATGTTCGCATTTCTGAGCATGTTCCAAAGAAATTGAGACTGCGAGGGACTACGGCTCTCAACAGTGCAATAGCTCAGCATTTACTTGACACCATTGACGTTCCTCATGCTTTTAAAATTATTAGCAGACAAAGAAATACTGCTTCTTTCTGATTTACTGAAGCCATTGCGAGAAAAAAACTCAAACCGGATCTATGTATTCAAAAAGAGTCAGTAATAAACCTATTACTACCCTGGTAATTCAATTTTTTCTTTTGGTCGTTAGTATTATTTTGGTAATGTTTTGTCTGTGTTATCTTGCTCTTCCATTATCGAGTTCTTAAACCACCCCATTCACTCTTGCATTTCCACTCACTTGATTCTCTTAAATTATGTGAACCCATTTAGATTCTATTCACTTATTACGTAACCCATCTTATGTAAACCCTTCATTACCTCTAAAATTATCACAATTTATTTTATCTGTCTCTGAACTCCACTCAACTATTACATCAAACATCCTTAAGGGTTCCTTGATTCCAACACCAAATAAAAAATACTTTGGCAGCATGTTTGAATATATGAGTTACCTGTTTCTAACATCAACATATCTCAACAAGTTACCTATCTTTTGTTTGTATTCACACATCATTATAGCCCTTATTCGCATAACCTATTTAGGCGCGTTTATGAAAAGTCTACAGTCTTTCACCGTAAAATATAAGAAAAAGTACAATCAGAGACATTGTGATGGATGTCAATATGTATTGAAAATAATGATCATAGTTCAGATTTCGATTCTCAAACTGCTAACATCTAACTGGTAATAACTCAATATTTATCGTCAGGATAGATGAAGAATTAAAGAGAAGAAACTTGATGAAATACTTTGTACTGAGAATTCTATAATGTACCAAAAATATGATATTGAATAAAGTCACTAATAATAATGATAATAACATCTGACCTGTTCTTGTATATATATATATATATATATATATATTGATAACCTTTGTCATTCCAATTCTTTACATTCACTTATGTCAATTGTTCCATACTATTTCTTACCTCAATGTAAAACTCTGATACATATTTGGTTGTAAGCAGTTGATGAGAAACTACGGTATATAATGAATTCATATTATTCTGTATCAACGTTTGTTCTGGCTTTATTTAAATTCCTAAAGGGAACTAATTGCATGAAATCGATATATAATTGGTTAGAGTGTAAACATGTTACAGTTTTATTCTCTTCATCCAGACATATGTTTGATAAAAATTTATTCATTATTTATTTTAATCAGTTTCCACAACCACACACTATACTTTTATCAGTGTTGTTACTCAACATTTTATCATTACTAAATGATGAGATATATCAGGTGGAAGTGTAGTGCGTGCTACTTATGTTAATATAAGTAGTATATGACGCGAGTCAGGAATGTAATATCTGGCAGCAGAAGATGAGGGAGGATCAAGAAAGCAAGAGCGGGAATAGAATGCAGTTTTTATGAAAATGTAAGAACAATGAAGTCTGAGGCATTTTGAGATAATTGGTGGACATTTTGCAAATTAACGATTTGATATATAGTTCTCAGATTTTATTGAGATGCTCTGTAATTTTATTTTAAATACATTCGGTTGTCCCCACCTGTGTTCTCCTTCACTACAGAGGCAGTGATACCCGTTATTAGAAAGAAAGCATCAATTACTTGGTGGACAGTAGACCTACCAACCAACAAATACGAAAATCATATTTGTGTGTATAAATACGCTTGGTTTGCAAACTAGGATGTCATCAAAATGTTTTCATGAAAACATAAATAATCCTAATAATTGGAAACAAGATAAAAAATAAATATAAATATAAAAAGCAATGATTATTAGGCTATCATTGATATTCTATAGTCAATCAATACCTTTCGTAAAAACTTATCATTTCATTATGGTAATGTGATCAAACTATTCTACTAGTACTGGCGTGTATGCTGCCTATGTTGACAGAAATAACTAATATGTAACACTGGTTGGAAGTGGAAAATCTGGTAACAGAAGGCTAAGAAGATTGATTTAAAGAGAATAGATAGGAAAATAAAAAAGGATTGTGAACTGGAAGAATCATAAAGAATGCAAATGACAAATGATGGAAATTTACAAATGAAGTATTCAGTGTGTAGTTCTCATATTTTACCAAGATATTTTGTAATCTTGTATTGAAATAAATTGGTTGTCTCCACCTGTGTTCTCGTTCGCTGTAGTACTATCGATTTGTTTTTAACGATATACTTAAATCCCACCAAACATTAACTCCCTTTTTGATTATAGAGTGATTTCACCTTAATCCAATGGATGGATCACATTTAGATCAGTTAGTCGTCAAATTTTCCAGTTACACATATCTGTAGTAGGAAACAAAGTTCACTGAGAAAAGTCGAATTCGACATAAGACTAACAATCATTCAGTTGCTTAAATGAGTCAATATTTAAGCCACTTCTGTAGTCTTGAATAAGAAAAATTCCTTAGACACACTACTATTTTAATAAAGTATTTTGAAATTATAATTCTCAACTCTTCATTAATTATTCATGATTTCATTGCAGAGGTAATTAGCATACAGTAGACTTCCATCAGTTTTCACTTCTCATTATTTCGGATTAATAAATAGAGAATATTGAATGAGAAAATAATATGACTGCAGTAAATTCAATAGTTTAAGCTTAAGCACATAAACCAATCTAACATTTTACTTAGATTATGATTTATGTGAAAAATAATTTGAACTTGTAATTCACGAGAAGCAAGATTTTGTTGAGAAAGACACATTTTGTGCATAAGGGCTACCATGATTTTGATTTGAAACTGTTCAAACCGTTTCTCTTGATGCTGTATATAGGCTTCTAGTTGCTCCATAGAAATATTCATTGTAGTTTTCCCCACCACCATCACTGATAAGTCTTTTAATTGAACGCTAGATTCGGTTCTTAAGCTCTTCTAGTCATTTTATTATTCTATATTTGTAAGTTAAAATTCACTTTATTGAATGATGAATATCAGAAAGGGTTTTGTGAAGATTTTAGAAATTTCAGTAGTTGAAATCATGAGTCAATTGAAGCTAGACCACCATGGAAAACCTGAAAGCACTGGATGGCCGTTTCGTCCTAGTATGTGACTCCTTAGGAATGCGTATCCACAACCCCGCCCCTCGCTGGATTCGAAACTAGGACCTATCAGTCTTGCGTGCGAGCGCTTAACCATTAGACCACTGAACCGGTATCCAACGGCGTTAATCTCTAACTTCAACCAATCCGCGAAATTGCGCCATCGTCTTCAGTGAGCTGATATCTCACAACAGACATGGTTTAACTCCACTGGTCACTGCTTCTCACTAGTACTCCAGGAAATGCCTCTTGAAGTCAGTCATTAGTGAGCAGTTGATTATTACCTGAAGATTTTGTGTGGAGATTTTAGAATTTCAGTAGCTAAAATGAATAGTTGTACATTATTTACTTTTCCTGTTAATGGTGGTTAAGCGGCGATGAAGATAATCAATAAATTAAATTCTTATGATGTTACTGGTTAGTTATCGTATTTACGTACAGATATCAAAGTTGATTTGTTTCAGCTTCTAACTCATTTTCAGTTATAGTAATCAGAATTTCAGTCATTAACATACTAATATAAATATATATGTTCCTTAAATTTAACATTATTTAATTCGTTCATTGTTTTTTCTTTTATATGTATACTGTTATGATAATATACGTGATTCTTTGATTTCTGTTATGAGGTATTGTATTCTTTAGTTTGAAAAACTTATTAATAAAAGACTTTTCAACAAGTGATATAACAAAAGTGATTCAAATTGAGACATAGTGTGGTGTGTGCTACTGATGTCGAGAGATCTAAGTGGTATGTATCATCAATCGATAGTGAAATGTCTGGGAGCAGAAGGTTAAGAAGATCAAGAAAATGAGAACGAGAACAAAAAATGATTGGTGTGGAAAAGAAAGAACAATAAAGTCTGAAACGATTGATTGACATTTTGTAAATGAAGTTTATACTGTGTGGTTCTCAGATTCTACTATGTGATTCTGTGATTTTGTGTTCAAATATATTCGATTGTCCCCATTTGTGTCCTCGTTCAATACAGTAATATTGAATGTTTTATGATTTAAATATTCATTTTATATGGAATAAAAATTTACAAATATCTGGTTAAGTAAAAAAAATTTCAATTTAATTACTTATTCGTAAGGAGTCATCTCTTAGTGATTTATTTACTTAGATTTCAACTACAAAACCTACTTGTTTATCACAAATATAGTACATTTCGTAATCATTACATTTTTATAATAGTTCACTAATACTGTTTTTCGGTAGTGTTAGATATTCCCAAACTTGATTCTTCATTATCCGTTACTATAGCGTAAAATAATTATCACAAACGAAGCTTTACAGAGAAGCTAAAGGTGATGTGATCTTAATGTTTACATTGAGAATTATTGTTTCATTGTTCTAGTCTTACTTGACAAATATTAAGAGGCTAATTTACAATATTTCTGAGCAGCTTATTATTTAAATTATTGTTAACCAAAGTCACTCTATCATATATTTGTTTTCGTAGCTTTAATAAACGATTAAAATGTTCACAAGACAGTCGTAGTATCGTGATTTATTGGTTTCAGATCTTAATATATACCATCTATAATAAGTATGGTAGCTGCTTAGTGTAAGTTGCATCTAATTTACGGAAGCCAGTGTTTTGGGTTCAACCCATTTATTTCGAAAACGACTCTGTTAATCAATCCCTAACATTATGTTTCATGTGTATTTCATTGATTAAAGCCGGATGCATGGATGTATACTTGATAAATAAGTTATTTCGTAAATCATTTTAATTATATGAACTTAGATGTAATGAGAATGAACTGTGATTGATGTTTAACAAAGTAAGTTTATAATATCAGCATTGTAACCATTATTATTTTCAATTTTTCTATATACAAGAGAACTTCCACAAGTTTACAGTTTGTAAGCCTAAGAATAAATCAAGTAGAAAATTGTGTACTGTCCAATAAGATCTATCTGATGTATTTCAAAGTACACTAATATGCAAACAGATACGTATAGAGCTAATGCAATTTAAATACATATTTTCACATAGTTTGTGAACATTAATTGTACTGTCCATAAACTAACTAAAGGTAACCGTTTACAAATTCTTATCTTCTTGTCAAGGAATCAATACATAAATGTAACAAAAGCATATTATTTTTCTCAAAAGACAATAGATGTCAACATTGAAGTTTAACATTACAATCTACTTCTTTTTTAACTAACGAATTGATGTTTCCACTTTGAAATACCTTACAATCGTTCGATTTTCATCAACAGAAGAGAAAAAAAAACAAAGTAATTTCAAACAAAATAAGGTTTTTACTTTTTTCAGACAACAAAAAGAACATTGAAAAATATCTCATTAAGATTTGTCAAAAATATAGAGCTGATCGTCTGACATTAAATAACTTCACTAACAAGCCGAGTGTAAAACCAGTAAGCTAATGATTTAGAGAATAGAAGCATAGATTAATGTTAATTTCGGTAAGTTGCCACTTTACATCCCAACAATATGAAGAGAACTAATATAAGTTTAATTTGATCCCTTAATTAATAAATTAATTAGTAATTAAACAAATTAAACCAGTAATTTCCCTTGTTAGAGTTCTTACTGTTGTGAACACTAAACATGTTTCTGTTCATGTATCAAACGTTAACATTAAAATGTTTGGAATTCATATTGGCTATTTGTTCGGAGATTTTTTATCATTATAAAGTGAAGAAAATATATAATGCCATTTAGTGAAATGAAGTTAAAGCTTAATCTAACATCCTCTGTCCACTTTAAACAGATTTTTGCAGAGAAATGAGTTCTAGACTCATTGAACTTAAATGAGTGCTAGTTTTACAACACATACAACCATCTAACTGTCTACCAATCCATTCGACTACTTATCATATACATCCATCGGGTGGCCAGCTTAAATATCTGGACTACCTGTTCCTGCCATCTAGTTGTTCCAACAAGTTATCTGTTTTTATTATGTTTGTTTCAACACATCATTATGCCTACTAGTCTCATAGTCTATTCAGGCGCGTTTACGACCTTTCGCTGTACAAGTTACAAAAAATCCAAATCAGAGACATAATGGTTGCTGGCAATATAAATCGAAAAGAATGTACTTTATTCAGATGTCGATTCCAGAACTGCTGACATCTAACTGGCGATCACCTATTATTTATCATCAGGATCGATGACAAAATAAGAGACGGAAACTTGTTGAAATACTTTATGCTGAGAATTCTATATTGTACAAAAGTATAATATTGGATAAAGCTAATAATAATAATAATGAATTTAGATGACCAAAGCTGTTTGATATTTCACCGAATTAAATATTTTCTATTCATTTAAAACGAATCTATCATTTGTAATCACATCGTTTGTTTAATTTCAAATGGGGCATAAAATAAAATCAAACAAATAGTAAGTTACTTGCTTAATCCTAGCTTCCTTGAATTCCACCAAAATGGTTCACTCATTAAGTATACCGCAACAAATGGTGAATCTACCATTGCCGAAACAGATACAATAAATAGAATTCCTAAGATTATTATTAAAACTGGATTGGAAGATATTACAGTCTAAAAAATAAATGATGATAAAATGAGAATTTTGCTTTAAAAAATTATGCAATAATAATTGCTGTGGAAAATAATCATAATCTGGTACAGTTATTAATTATATAATCAGTAAAAAGGTAGTTTCTTACAAAGTATAGGCTTTCAGAAAATGACAGCTAATTTTATAACACTTGAAGAATCCGCACTGTATACATAGTGGAAATCGTTTAAAATCAGTTGAATGGTTAAAGCCATAACGAATTTTGTCAAATGGATGTGACAATCTTTGGTATTACATTATTTATTGATCATAATAATAGAAATACTTAAATTCATTTGGTATTATTTGCTTGTATTTTCCCTTTGTTGTCAAGGGCTGCGATTGATCAGTCTCTTGTTGGGATATATGTATCCTGTACCGATTGCTTTGATATTGCCTGAAGTCACGAGCTTTATAAGCAAAAATGGATGGTGGCTAACAGTGGAGTCCAGTACGCTTGTGACTTACGGTAATATCGAGACTGTCCGAACAAGATGCACATATGCCAACAAGAGACTGATCGATTACCGTCTTTAACAACAATCGGAAATTACAAGCAAATAATACCAAGTGAATTTAAACTTCACACAATTGCACAAGCAGGTGACTAAAAGGACTCAGTACCTAAGTGGATAATGTTATGGCATTTGAAGCGAACGATACTGGGTTCCAGTCCCAGAGTGAATATCAACTCTGGGATGCAGGTATATCCAGCTGACGAGTCCCAAATAGGACGAAACGCGAGTCCTGGATTCTACTGTTAACCAATACCCATTTTTGCTTATAGAAATATTTAGTTTTTAATTAACTAAATATCTGACGCTTCACAGTTAAATTAGTTAGCTTTCAACCATTTGGTCATTAATTTGAACTTCATTTTTTAATTTCCCCTAACATATTTTCATTCTTTTGAAAACGGCTTGACTTATGATACATAATAAATTTATACAGTTGGTGAGTGGTACTGCTTTAAGACCGATGATGTAATGTTAACAGCTGATTTACAGAATATTTTAACAGCTTTACGAAAAAAATAGTGTGTACACAATAAATTTATATAACTTATGATCATATAATTCATGTTTAATAATCGAAGTAGTCTTCCCTCTTTGTTGTTCACTTTGATGCTAACATAACAGTCAACATTTATTATTTTTAAAGCTAAAGTAAACATTTCACTCAAAGCTCATTTTCTTGTACCGACTAAATGTTTCAGGACATTCGATGTAACTAATCTACTTTCTTCTTTGTTAACCTACAATGAGAAATAATTTCAAGTAAAGCAAAATCATTAGTTTCATCCTGAGACATCATTTACAAGATCCAATAAATGATTCTTAAGCTTTCCTCATTAACCTAATTCTACATTTGATTGAAATCATGAAAAAATTAATGTCAAACCTCCAATGAAAATCTACAAACACTGGAAGGCCGTTTCGTCCAAACAGGGGGGCTGATCGACAGTGCGCATCTACAATCACGAGCGTGGGACTCAAGGCCAAAGCCTTAGGTTTCGTACAAACGCTTAATCTCTAGACCAATGAGCTAGCATCCAACAATGTTAATGTCTAACTTCAACCAATCCATATTACATTACAAAAGATTTACATGTCAACATTTCTATAGTGAACTACTGCAATTCAGTTCTGAGTTAATAAGAAAGTTCTATACTTTTCATAGTCAACCGTAGGCTATAATAAACGAATTGACAATTGATGTATATAGTAAACATATGAAAACAAAAGTTACAGTCAAACTGTTAAGTAATAATAACAATTAGGAAACTATTTAACAATTTTGTTTACCATTAATGTTTGTTTAATTTTCTGATAAAATATTTGCCAACAAGTTAATTTCATTTTTGTTAAATGTACATTATTTGATAGTTTATCATGATTATATACATTGACTTCAGTATCATATTTTAAATGTTTAACATTATTTGTTTCAGGTAAAAAGAATATCAATATTATAACTGGTAAATAGATTAGAATACAAACCATCATTGTAATATTGAAACCATATGTATGAATTAATGAACCTTTTAAGTAAAAGGATTGAAGCAAACTTTATCATTTATTATTTGATTATGTAATGTTAATGATTCGTACATAATTTAGACAGTTTTTTTTTAAAATAAATATTTTATGTGTTATACAATTTAGATTATGTCTTATCATCAGACAGTGCTGGTGAACGGCCTATGCTCCTTCACGTGGAGTAACAGGGGTAAGTAAGTAAGTAAGTAACAATCAGTTCAATAATGACATTTGTCTAAGATAAACGATTCATTTAGAGAATTACATTAAACTAATGAGCAGTTGTTTTGTATAAACCAGGATACTATTTGCATTATGCACGTATACAACATTCAACCTGGAATTGTCTGATCGTTTTGTGTAATAACAATTTGTTGTAATGAATCGATTTTAGTAAGCACAAATAAAAAGAACCTGTAATCAGTTTGGGGTTTTTTGTAGAGATTCTAGTAATTTAATGGTTGAATTCATGTGTTGATTAAAGCTAGACCATTACAGAAAACCTGGAAGCACTGGATGGCCGTTTCGTTCTACTGTGGAACTCCTAGAGGTTAGGCATTTGCGCGTGAGACCGAAGGTCCTGGGTTCGGATCCCACGGGGCGGGATCGTGAATGAGCACTGGCGAGGTGTCCCGTACTAGGACGAAACGGCAGTTCAGTGCTTTCAAGTTTTCCATGGTGGTCTAGCTTTAATCAGCTCATAAATTCAACTATTAAAAAGATTTTCTCAAACTTTATATACAAGTAAATTTATGGTATATGTCCATCATATCTGGTCATATTCTCGTTAATATTTTAATCATTTTCTGTAAGAAAACAATCATCGACATTCCTTTTGATAACTCACTGGCTTGATGAATCATGATTTAATCAACATTCACGTCATTCTTCGAGATTTAAATCGTGAGGCATGTGCGATTAATGCCTACTCGTTTTTTTCGTGAATCTTATTGATATGTCTGAGATATTTTGGAAACGTAATGTAAGGTTTTTATAGGTAAATTGAATACAAAGTGGATTTCTATTTGACTTTTTAACTCTCGTGTGTTACAGCTAGGTATTTTACATTTTTTTATTTCAACAAAAAAATTTTAATGTAACATCCTTGTCATTGCTTATGTAACCGAGTAGATTAAACTAACCATAAGAAGATGACGACGCCTTGGAAAACTGTGAAACTTTCTCCTGTTCTTTCACTTACGGCGAATCAATTGTGACTTTATATACTTGAACTACGAAGAAAGTTGTAAATGAAACAATAATGCTAGGCAAAATTAATTGATAATATATTTACTGTTATCACTGTTAACACTGGCCAATAAATAAATAAGAATACTAACTTGACTTAAAACATTTTATGTGAAAATTATATTTTGAATAATGTCAGCGATTAAAATTTAAGTAATTCCAAGGTTTTGTCCAGCTAACTTGTCTGGACTTCTTCACGGTGATAATCAAAATCAAATAAAAATAAAAATCAACATCCAAATATGATTGGATTAACAGTCAGTCAGCAACAACATGGGACCAGGCACATACGTGCATCGGTTCAAGTAGCCATACCTCATTAGCACAGCAAGATGAACACCGAATTCATAGAAATAGGTAATTCAATGGTGGTAATATATAAAAGAAGGATTGCATATAAGAACATAGTATAGAAAGAAAGAATTAGTACGTAGAAAGAAAGATATGAAGCGATTTTAAAGGAAGACAGAGAGTGTATACACCGACGGCATTGTGGTCACCAAGTGTCTCAAACCATTGGTTACGATAGTCACGCGGACCCCAACCAAGTAGTTTGCATCTACCAACATGGCTCAGACCAGAAGTTAGTGACCTCAAGCACTGATGGCACGTTTTGGTTTGGCCACCCCTAACTTTCTTCCAACCATCTCCAACACCGGTTAGCATTGCACGTCGTGATAATCGGTGTTCAGGCACACTCAACACGTGGCCCAACCATCTCAGTCGATGAAGACTTACAACCTCATCAACTGACTTACCATACCCTATCTAACCTCACTATTACTTACCCGGTGATACCACAGATGCAAGCAATATTTCTAAGACATCTATTTATTTATTTATTTATTTAAACACATAAACATTAGTACAAGGAAGCACCAAGTAGATATGCGCCACACAAATCATTCGACCTGTGTGAGGGCTGGGATACTGCTCGGGTGCCCAAACCGAAGCAGGTGGTTTTCTTAGGGGGCCACACTCCGAGCCTTTGACCTAAAGGTCCAACCCCCAAGGCAGTGGAGCATCGTGGGGAGATCCAGTCCCATGGTAGCCGGTGACCCACGATTGGTTCATACGCCATTTGTTCCCTCAGGATACTGTAGCCCATGTGCAACATTGATTTGGTTTGGGGTCCGGTTAAAGCGCCGGACATTCGCTTTTGGTCCTCTCATTTTCGTAAACAACACCCCCGTCACGAGAAGGCAGTGAGTAGGACTTCCCTGGCAGAGGCTGTATACGCGTGGCCATGTGAGAGCATTTCGAGAGGGGAGGTGGGCCCACCCCACTCTCGGCCATACCAGGGCATTTAAGGGCAAGACATCTGTGGTCAAACACTAGTAGCTCACGAGTGTCTTCTACTCTTAATGGCCATGTTTCGTGGCCGTTAAATAGAGCAAAACGAACTGCCGCGCAGTACACTCGTCCTTTTATTGATAGACGGATATCTCGCCTTCACCATAGATGACGTAAGTTAGCAAAAGCAAAACGAGCTTTCCGAATCCGTGCTGAGATTTCGTCAGACACCAACCCATTAGGGCTAATCAGACTTCCAAGATAAGTGAAGCTATCAACGCGTTCGACTAATTCTCCCCCTATCCTTAGTTCAGGTGTTGACGCAAACCAGTCCTGAAGCAACAACTTGCATTTAGAGAGCGAGAAGCGCATCCCAAACATTCTAGCATTTTAACACAGTACAGATTTGATTTGATTGTTACAGCGCCATATATTTCTTTGATGATTTTGATTATTACCGTGAAGAAGTCCAGACAAGTTAGCTGGACGAAACGTTGAAATTATTTGGATTTCAATCTCTGAGATTATCCAAAACATAATTTTCACATAAAGTGTCTTCTCCATACTCGGCACCCAATTTCTGTCGAACTATTCGTTCTAATCTTGATGAATATTCGTATAAATTGATTTAAAATAGTTACATTATAAAATTATCATCTATCCATATCATCCAAACAAATTCTGATTCAATACCATTGGATGCATTTTACGCAGAATTAGATTCATAACTTAAAATATAATAGTAAAGTTTTATGTAAATGCCGATCAGTATCATACTAACCTGCAATCATACTAGCAATTGCCAAACTTAAACAAGCTAAACCATCAATAAGTGTTAAAAATATCCAACGTCGACGTTCATACACAGATTTCGGAATAGATGTAAATTTTTTAAGTTGATCATAATTCGTTAAATCTGTAATACAAACGGAGAATTGAGCAATAGCTGATAGTAAACCACCACCAATTAAACCTTCTAGTACATTTGAAGCAACTAATGCCCATGGTGTTAAACGAAAGAAAACTACAACAGCTGTAAATATTTAAAAAAAAACAAATGCATTTATAATATATAAATTTGTAATACAAAGAATAGGGATACACTTCAAAAGTTAAATAGAGAAAATAAAAAAACGAAAATTCGATTATTATTAAGGTTAGACAAATAAAATTTAACTCACTTATTTCAATCTAAGAATATCAACAGGAATTTGTATACTTTTAGAATAACTAAGCAAAATAAGTAGACTTGATGTAATGTTAATTAATTCCCTTAAGTACATCAAATGTAAATAGTTATTATTGAAGTTAGTTATTCGGTGCTGTACATAGAGTTGATATGAATACAAAAGGGTAACATTTAAATAATGGTGTATGTATCCATAATCGAAAGGTGTAACGCAAAACCTTAGTTGGTGCAAAACATTCAAGGAAAAGTGTTTTTGAACATATTCGGATGGATTAAATGTGTTATGAAGCTTAGATTGAATAAACTAAGTGAATGAACGATAATCGGAAATTACCTTGACATATAAATGCACATCATCACTAATTTTAGACTTAAGATTTTCTGGATTCCACATAAAAATCACTTGTTATTTGCAAGATTTTACAACTTTGATAGCTAAAAGTTCTCCTTGTTACCTTTTTAAAAATTTCACTTTCATTTAGTGATTATAAGGATTTAAAATAATACCGTTATCAGTTTAATAATTACTCAATAGAATGATCTGCCAATAAATGTCTATGTGTAAAGTACTTTTTGGATGTTGGATTCTTTAATTTAATTTCTTAATACAGTACATGGTTCTAATTTGTAAATAGTTAACTATGTTATTAACATATAAGTTTTAGTGTTGAACAAGTTAACCACAATTATTTTTTTTCGAATGTTATTCTTCTGGCCTCTATCACTATTATTTGTCGTTTGTTATGCATGTAATCAAATTTATCAGAGTTTACGTCCTATTTCATTCAAACTGATTTAGCTTGTTTTAAGAAAAATTAGACTGTTTTACATGTACTTCGAATACATTGTTATTATCATTAGCTTTATCCAATATTATACTTTTGCACAATATAGAATTCTCAGCATAAAGTATTTCAACAAGTTTCCGTCTCATTTCTTCATCGATCCTGATGATAAATAATGGGTGATCGCCAGTTAGATGTCAGCAGTTCTGGAATCGACATCTGAATAAAGTACATTCTTTTCGATTTATATTGCCAGCAACCATTATGTCTCTGATTTGGATTTTTTGTAACTTGTACAGCGAAAGGTCGTAAACTCTTCCGAAACGCGGCTGAATAAGTTATGTGCTTAACAAACATAATGATGTGTTAAAAAAAACAAATAACTTGTTAAAATATCTAGATAGTAGGAACAGGTAGGCTGGATATTCAAACAGGCCGCCAATATTCATAATAACACAATGAATGAGCTTAGTTTACACTAATTCGCACTCAAATAACAGATAAAGTAAACGATTTACCGATAATTTCAAAGTAATTATGTGCTCATGTCTTAGGAATCATTTAAAATTCATCGTAAATATTTTTGCCAAACATTACTTGCTTAGGGGTGCTCTTTATTTTTCAAAACAAATGTTTTACTACAGCTGATGCACTGTATAATATTAATTCATCATTAAAGTAAATTGTAATAAACACATCAAAATTGTGTTAGCATTATATTTAGCTTTCAAAGAGTACTTTTAGACTAGATATAGAATTACTGTTATAAAAAAAACATACCGACAGCCACCACTTGTGCAGCTTCTCCAGCTATGAGGATTCCTAAAGCAATTTTTCGTCCAAAACGATCTGATATATAACCAACTAATAGAGTTGATATTAAACCAGGAGCAACTGCTGCAAAGTTATTTGATGACTGTACTAATGATGTTTGCTTTTGAGCATCGTGTTGTTTGAGTTTTATTTCTGTAGAACTGTGTTTATTTTTAAATATAAAAAAGCATTGATAAATCAATATTGGTTCTATTTTATCCACAGTTACTTAGATACAAGAAGAAATGAATAGCATTTTAAGTATGTTGTCGAATGATTTCAAATGACCTTTAAGAAACCTCTCGAGTTCTTTTAATGTTATTTAGAGAACTACCCATCAACTTATTAAATTCAATAAAGTGAAAAGGAAAACTTTATAAAAATGTCAACTGATTACCGTTACTTTGAAAATTTTACAAAAAAAGGAGGAAAAATGTGTCACCAGATTAAGTTGATATTATTCATTTTTGATTAAGCGCTCGCGCGCAAGACCGAAGGGGCTGGGTTCGAATCGCGCGAGCGGAATCATGGACGCGCACTTCTGAGGAGTCCAGCATTAGGACGAAACGGCCTTCTAGTGTTTCCAGGTTTTCAAAGGTAGTCTAACATCAATCGATTCATGATCTCAATCAAAAACTTAACAATCTCCACAACCCCTATACTAGTAAGTTAAGAATTGAATTCATGAGTCAATTGAAGCTAGAATATCATAGAAAACCTGGAATCACTGAACAGCCGTTTCGTTCTAGTATGGGATTCCTCAGCAGTAAACATCCCGTCCTATGGGATTTGATTATAATTTCCATATATACATTGTTATATAATATTGTCCAACTAGAGTGGAATTATACAAATAAATAGATAAATTTCATTCATCTAATATGTCATAATTTTATATTATTAAACCTAATTAATTTTAAGCTGCCTTATTTTTAATCTCATGTTTATACTGTTTCGTTACAACTCGAATTATAAAGTTGATTAACTGGTTTGTTTTAGAATAAAGCAATACAATTTAGCATTTAATTATTAAATTAATGGTTAAAACACGTTTATCTATTGTTCATTATAAGTACAATTACCTTTAACAGTGTTTCATATAATCTTATACATACTGTATACATTTCATTATTTCATCGTTTTTATTATCGTTTTTGACTCAAATACTCAGTTTAAAGTAATCTAGAAATCATATATCTTTTTTCGAAATGTTTATACTGTGAATACTACTATTATAAGTAATACTTTTTTGTATTATTCTATAGAAACTTATCTCAATCTGACCATCATTGTTAACTGGCTTACATTCTGTAAACATTTTGTTTTTCTTGATCAAGTTTATAAATAAAGAAGAATGTGTGTAGTTCAGTTGCCTTGTATTATAAAACTTCGTATTTTAGAATTATTATTATTGATGAAATTGTTATATGAATAAAAACTTAAAAGTGAAACCTACACTTAACTAAAATCCGATTATTATTAAGTTGTGGTTAGCATTCAGGTGTTATTACTTCATCAGTGATTAAATACCGAATCTAGTATTAAATTCATTTTGTATTGTTCTTTTGTATATTCCTATGGATGTTTAGGACTACAATTGATCAGTCTTTTATTAGCATATTTGCACTCTGTGCGAATCGACTCGATATTCCTTTAATGTACAATCACTATAAGCAACAATGGATGGTGGCTATCAGGATTCAGTAGCTTAGTGGATAACACGATGGCGTTTGGAGCAAACGGTGATGGGTTCGAGTCCCGAAGTGAACATCAAATCTTGAATACAAGGAAAATTCAGCTAATGAGTCCCAAATAAGACAAAATATACACCCTGTATTCCATTACTAGCTACCATCCATCTTTGTTTATAATAATCTAGTATTGTTAAAACATTTAAATGAACAATTTATTCACACGCTGATTTGTGAAAATGATTTTATGAATAAAACAAAACTATATACACACAGTTACCAATTAAAAAGGCATTTCCTCTTAAAGTATAATACATTTTGTCCTGTTTTCAATCTAAAGATAGTTTTGAACGTAAACTGGAATCAGGAAACAATTGAAAACAACCAATATAAGTTAAGTAACATATGATTTCAACTAAACATCTTAATAAAATATTGATTTTTTTGGAGGTCTCACAAAGAACTGTAAGTTCTCACTAAATGAAATAGTTGTCTGGTGTATTGTTTTCAAAAATATAAGTAAAGGAATATTTCATTCAGACTTTGTAGTAATTCTCTTGTGTGTAAGTGAGATTGGACCATTGTGGTTGAATTTTTAATTTATAAACTTAATACAATAAAGCAATTTTTGCAAGTTATGTTATTTTACGATAATCTAATACTGTTAAATCATACAAACATCAATTAATTAAACCACTTTAATAAATAATAATTGTTTATCAACTGGTAATTAACTCCTAAAATAATTTATTCTGATTTCCAGTGATTTTAACTAAATCATAATCGATCATCCAACTGAATTGAGAGCAAAAGCGAAAATTATTCATATTTCGGTGGAGTAATGGGATTTACTCATAATAGTAAGTCACTAGCATTTATTGATTGATTGTTCAAAGACATATATTGTGGTCTTAATATTCAGATAGTATTATTGACAAGAACTAATTTATGGTTTAAAATGATTGAGTTAGTGATAGTACTACAAGCCAAAATAACTTCATTATGTTAGAGTCAGTATACTCATACATATTTCAGATATTGTAACACAAATTGATAATACTAAGATTCACAGTTACAGTTTTGTGCAAATCTATGTTTCATGACATTAATCACTGTAGAACAGTGTCATGAAAAACCATGGCTTAACTTCTATTATACACACATGTAAATAAATAGGATCAATAACAAAAAAAGTGAAGTGCAATTTTAAGTATGTAAAATGAATAAAAATTAAGGCATGTGGTTCTGTATTATCGAAACTTTTGTTCCAAGTCAATAGATTATGTTATCTAAGCTCTTCTAAAATAACACTAAATAAGAATTTATTCAGTCACTTTAAAGGCCAGAATGAGTTCAAAGAATTAAGTTACAATAGGGTCATCATCATACACTTGTATGATATCTTTTGGTTATGCGTGCTAGGTTTGAAAATTGATCCATTTCATTTATATTAAAGATTGAATTCAAATCACTTAATGTTGTCAATTAATAGAAACTTCATTTTATTCTATAAATGAAATTATTTATTCATATGAAACGTATGAAAAATAAACTCACTTATTTCCATCAGTAGATATACCATATCCATAAGGTAATCCACGCTGTGTTAGGAAACTACAAATAGAACATAATGATTAAATAATAACATCATATATATTAGCGAACAATAATGTTTTCGAGTAGATCCTCATCAAGCTTTACATTAATATACGGTAATATTTGTACGCATTGCGAGGTGTGTCCACGGGTGAACTTGCGGAGGCAATAAGAAGAATATTCCAGAATCCTTATATGTAGCTTCCCTATTGGACAAATGCTAATAACCTCCTGTGTGCAGATTGAATAACTATAAAGATGACTTGGGTTTTACTAAGAACTATAAATACGTGACAGTTTTATACCATAATTGACACTGTTTGGAAAAGCATTCGTTTCGTTTATCTTCTGTTTTCTCATTTAATACTTTGAAGGGTTCTGACGTTTGAGTGCTCAAGTGATACGCGGCATATTAAGAATCTGTTATGTTCGGTCGTCGCAACTGTTGTGCCGGAAAAAGCGCTGATCACTTGTACTCAGAACAAGGGATCTCGGCAATTCCCACGGTGCGAAAGTAAGAACACAAGACTGGTATAAGTGATGATTTATTAGCCCCAAAACACAACGACGACGGTGATCAAAATAGTCAAAAGTACACTCATTTATATATTGATTTTACACCCATTTTTGATTAATAATTAGGATTAAATCACATATATAACAAATCGCAGACTGAGCATAGTTCATGTCAATGGAACACAAGAATATCGTATATTATACAAAATAAAATATCGTACGACAAAAGAAAACAATTACTACACTAAATGATCATCACATTGAATTAGAATTGGTGTAATGTAATGAGTAAATCAATCGAAAATTGATTTTTCTTCCCATCATATCAGAATATAAGCTCTAGATCTAACATATATGAAATTACTAAACTAATGAAGACAGTTTCTGAGTGAATGATAACAGTGGAATAGATTACATAACAAAACATAATAAATGAAAAGTACAAATTGATAATGTGATGACAGGTGTACTAGTTGTGATATGAATAAATAAATAATATCAGAAGGGGTTTGTGGAGATTTTAGAAATTCCGCAGATTGAAGTCATGAGTCAATTGAAGCTAGACCACCATAGATAAACTGGAAGCACTGGACGGTCGTTTCGTCCTACTACGAGACTCCTCAGCAGCGCCCATACTAGGACGAAACGACCGTCCAGTGCTTCAAGTTTTTCTATGGTGGTCTAGCTTCAATCGACTCATGACTGTAATCTGTGAAATAAATAATAATAGGAAGTTTTTCAAAAAAATCTCGTTTCATTAATGAAATAAGTATCATCATTGAAGTGTGTTATTAATATGCTCGTTTATTGAAATTTATATAAAAATATTCCAAAATTGATTCGTAGCACAATGTGATGAGGCTCTGCGAATGGATTTAAGTATAACTAACTATGATAACATGAATTAATCAAATGTCTCATGCGGTGTATTCACATTTAATTATCTAATACAGTAGGATATTCAGAATTTAACAGTTACATAATTAAAATTAACTTTTTAAGCTAATAGTTGGGATATATACCTTACTTAATTGTTGAATGACAAAGGTTGGGAAAGATATCAAGTATCTGACTTCAGTTATTATTTTTTTGATTGTGACAATTTTCATCTATATGACATTTATTAACTAGTTCCATCTGATAAATTAATGATCACGCACTGTTCAGACGATGATTTAACTGATTTTAAAATTCTTTATTGAACTGCAACTAAGTTCTTACAAAAGAAAGTACGTTTTTCATTTCTGAAACATCAACAAAATACTATCATGAAATAATACATTCGGCGACATGTTTTAAGTTAATTCAAATAAAAAACTTTAGATTTCATTTAAAAGTATCAGTACAACGAAATACTCATTTCTATATGATCTTAATCGGTTCAACATAATGAACTTAGTGAACTAATAGACTGTAAAGTGTTTTTTAATCAGAACTGGTGACAACTATCAGTAGGTTTTTCTATATAAGATTATCATTAAATGAATACTCCCAAATACGTTAAAAACCATGTAAGAGAAGAATTACTTGAAGCCTTGAATGTTGAACCATGTTTTATGTAATAACTGCAAAAGAATCCTAATTAGAGTTGTCAATTTCAATCAAGTAGAAAATATACTGTATTCAATGTTGCAATAACCATATATTACTATTCCTTCATTTAGCTAAAATCGATAATAGTGAACATCATAGTCTGATAATTTATAATATTTTCAGCACACATTTTCCATTCATTTTTGGCAATGAAACTTGAGACAAATGAATATATAACAAAGGAATGCAATAGAAAAGCCAGTTAGCAATATTGATTATTACTGAGAAATTATTTAACATTTTCAATTCGCTACTTAAATAGAAGAAAATAGTTTTAGGTAAACTAATGTTCAAGGCTAAAAACTACTTATATATCAAATCAATATAAACGTATAAATTATTTCTAAGCTCATTATAACTGAGAGTGAAATGTATAGTTATAGATGTGTATATTCCACGAAGCCAAAATGTAGTAACAGTGCATGAAATCAATGACTGTTGTACTACGTCGTGCAGATATAAAGGTTAGGATTCCTGAAACTATTATAACTGGTGATTGGAGATGTTGGCTTATGTGGTTCAGAATCAGTTTTAATAGTAAAAGTAAGTCCGCTCGTTGTTTTCTCTTAAAACTTCAATTTTAAAACTGTCTTACACTTTTCATTCAACAAATTCATTCTTTCTTCTGGAATCATATTGACTATTTCCAGGTTCTTCTACTGTCACTAATACCATTATCATTTCTACCACTCTGAAATTTGTCTCCATAATTTAATCTCACTGCACAGATATCCTGTCGTAACTTGTGCCGTACTTATATAAACCATGCTCGAAGTTGCTTATGATATATATATATATATAAGCCATAATTTTGCATGAATATAAATTTTGATATTTCAGCCACTAAGCTATCTACACATACTAATATTTTATTACATAATAATCTTCAATTCCTAATATGAAATGATTCGAATGAAGGTTTCATATTGAAATCAATGAAAAACAATAATAAATTACCTGTAGAAAGTAAACTGATCACATATAAAAGTCGATATTTCAACTGCAGTATAAAATGGTATAACCATTGAGATCAATATGCAAATAACTTTAATATCGTTTTTAGAAAGGGTAGTTTTTGTTTGATCATTTATAATATTGAGATCAGATTTCATATTTTTTCTAATGAATCTTTAGATCATGTCAAATTTTAAATAAAAAGTAAATAACTTCACTGTTGAAATACAAACAAGAAATTTGTAATCTGTTATATAATTAAGTTTTTCTATCAAATATATATATATATATATATATATATATATATATATATTACTATAAATGATTTTACAACTACAAGCACACAATGTTTTGTTTTATAAAATGTCGACCAATAAAATTATTGGATTTAAACAGCTTAATTAGAATACTATTGTTTTAATTAAAGACATAAAATAAAGACTTTTATTCTATAGCAGAAATAGACATTGGCTAGCAGTGGAATCTAGGACGCGTGTTTTGTCTTATTTGAGATTCGTCAGCCGGATGTACCTGTATGTCAGAGTTGATGTTGACTCTGGAACTGATCAATAGTAGTCATAAACAACAATGAAAAGATTCAAGTAAACAATAACAACTGAATTTTATTTTATAGGTATGTTGATTCCTTAACTAAATTATTTTTTGAAGGAGGTTTTGTGGAGAATTCACTAGTCACTTAAAGATAGATCACCATAGAAAACATGAAAGCACTAGACTGCATTTTCGTCCTAGTATGGGACGCCTTAGTAGTGCTTCCAGGTTTTCCATAGTAATCTACCTTAAATGGACTCATGGATTCAACTATTAAATTATTTGTCTTTATATATTTGTGCTAGTAATAACAAAGAATATATATTTTGATTTTATTAAAAACATGATATAAAGGCTTAGTTGTATGAAACGTTAATTATTTAAGTGTGCTGTTTCATTTATCTAATTAATGTGAACTATGCTTTGTATATGCTGGTCGGCGGCCCATGCCTCATTAGGAGTAACAGGCGTAAGTAAGTAAGTAAGTAAGTAAGTAAGTAAGTAAGTAAGTAAGTAAGTAAGTAAGTAAGTAAGTAAGTAAGTAAGTAAGTAAGTAAGTAAGTAAGTAAGTAAGTAAGTAAGTAAGTAAGTAGGTAAGTAATGCTTTGTATAAGGAGCAGCATTTAATTTGTTATAATCCAGGTTATTTTCATATATGTGATTTTATTCTAATTAATAATCAGAATGGGTGTATAGATAAATATATATCAATGAGTGTATTTTTGAGCATGGTCGTTGTCATCTTGTTTTGGGGTTAATAAATCTTTACCAGTCTTATTGATTGTACTCCATGTCATAGGACCTACCGCGGTTTCCCGTTTCTTTAAGTATTAATAATAAGTAATTCGGATATAACACATATTGAATATTAAAAAAAGCCATTAAATCTATCAAGTAAAAACGAAATGGAAGAGTGCTCGAAAAGCAAAATTCCTAAATAAGGTCGCCTGCAAAAATGATAAACAGAGAAATTGGATTAACTTCATAGTACTTGATCAATGTAATTAGTTATGTAAAGTGGTAACTTGTTTCACTTAATGAACGATTTCCCCATAAAATTTTTGGTCCTTTGAAGTAAGATCTGAAGAAATTGACATTTCAGCATTAGTTGAATACTTTGTTTTTATTAATTTCTCTGACTTTAACAAGAGATTGAATAATCAATCTATGTTGTATGAAATCAGTTTACTTAGGGTTGTAAGATCAAAATGTCACGGACGAAACTATTGATTTATGACCCAAATAATTAATACATAACTTTCATGCAAATATAAAAAGCTTCAGCCGTGGTTAGAAATTCTAAAATTGCAGATAAATTAAAATGAACATAATGGTATTTGATCACCTACGATAATTGGTTCATATGAATTATATAACTTTAAAATTCCATCAGTTTTATCACCGAATAAAATTGTAATCATGTGATCAAAAATATAAGCACTGAAGGTTGGAAACATTTCAATGTACAGCGTTTTGATCGCAGCACCTTTAACACTAATTTGACTGAATATAAATTGATGTATTAAGAAGCCACATAAATGAAGTGTACAATATTTGAACCATAACATAGGTATACAGTGTTGAGATCGATATTCATCTTTCAAAATGAGGTAACTAAAGATTTCACATCGTAAATTATTCCAAGTGGCAGAAATAATTCAGGCCTCATCATTCCTCATTTTAATCACAGCGGCAGACTAATGAAATCAAATTATCTCGGTTCTACGAAGTATAATATAGTGACAATTGTGAAAGTGATGTAGAAATATTTCAAATGTTTTGACGTACATTAGCAGTTGTGGAAATTATTACATTCCGAGAAACTTTATCCCTATAATAAATTTCGTTATAAGTATTTCATGGTCAATAACTACTTTTTATGTCTAATGTTACTACCGACCACTCTTATGAGATGTCAAATTTTTGCAAACTATCTATACTACTTAGCACTTTAACAGTAGCAAAAATAGGAATGCACTAATTCCAGTGGACAGTATACAATCTCAGAATTAACATGTTATACATCAATATTCAAGTACATATGTATCACTTTTGCATATTCGTTTGTCTGACTTCTTCATTCATATAAATAAATGGTCCGTTTAATCATCAATGTTTTATTACTTAGTCAAACTTATTACATTAGTTGATTCCGAAGTGAATCATTGCTTCAGGCTAGTATATTCGTGTTCTCACTGGCAAATTACATTTAGTGTATTTGTCAGTAGACGTAATTTAAAAATTAACCAGGCTTTCTCAACAGAAGCAATTCTATTTATGAATTCGATAAGATCACAGTACATAAATATTCATTAACATTATTATAACAGAAAACATTGATGCTTCGGTCTACCATAAACTAAGAACTCCCCGAAATTTTAACATCTAGAGTTATAATATTTATCTTTTGCTCACTTATCCATCATTTATTAACACAACCAAATGATCCGTCGATTAACATTTTGTTTTCTGTGTTATATCATGGTAACATGTTCTGAAAGAAACCAGCGATCTCTTGAGAAATAACAATCATTAACTTTGTTTTTATGTTCATTACGTCTAAAAATTCAATAAAATTGATAAGTTTTAATTCAGTGTGTTGAAAAATAATACAATAAAGACAGAGAACTATAGTCATACAGTTAGTTGGCGTGTGTTATAGAAATTATGTTATACATCATAACTGAAGTGATTATGTATTCGGAAAAAAAGAACAAATTACAACAGAATTAGCATGATAACAATATTATTTTACTATGGCTAGAACAGTACAAGTGTTATCATCATAGCATGTGTTCTTAGTTGTTAGCAAATAATTTCAGATACTTTACTGATCATATCAAATTTTAACAGTTTTTATCCTATTTCAATAATAATGTCCAAGTTAGTAAAATTAAGTTTTGAAGTAGATGAAGCGGGGATACTGAAAATAAATGTAACAAAAAAGATACATGTAGGTCAGCATGGTAGATGAAAACTACAATCAATATAATATGTGATAAATTTTATATTACTTCTATGCTGAACTGTAGTGAATAAGATTACTTGCAAGTAGTATGTAACGGATCATGTCTTCCAAGTTGCAACAATCATCAGGTGGAGAAGAGATTTTTAGTACAGCAAAAACTCGACACAGGTGAAACATTTGATGACTAGACATGAAAACAGTTCAGACTGCAGAAAACACGGAAAGATGCAAATGAATGATTAAAAACTATATACATATATTGTGTAAACACTTATTAATTTTATGAGAAGGGGTTTTTTAAATTTTAATAATTTTATAGTTGAATCCATGAGTACATTGAAGCCAGGCCATCATGGGGAACCTGGAAACAGTGGATGTCCATTTCGTTCTATTGTGGGACTCCTCAGCAGTGCACGTTCATGATCTTGCCTCGCGAGATTCAAACCCAAAATCTGTCAATCGCGAGCGTGAACGCTTAAACTCTAGACCACTAAGACAGCCGGTATCCAACGGTGTTAATGTCTCACTTCAACCAATCCACGAAATCGAGCCACAGTCCACCATTTTCTTCAGTGAGTTGCTATCTCACAACAGACTTAGTTGAACTCCACTGGTCACCGTTCCCCACTAGAACTCCAGGAAATACCTTTTCATACATATGTATAAACTTCTTCTACTTATTATCCTCCACCACTAACAGTCAATTTCTATAGACATACTCATAGGCAATATAGATCATCTATTTCATAGTTATGACATATTTTTATTATCAGTTAGAATGAACAAAATACAATATCAATGTAATGTGTAACAAATGGAAATGATTTAAAAGAATGGATCATTACTTTGATGAAGAAATCCATTTTTATTATCCAATACAATTGCTATAAATTGATTATTTCCTGTGAATCCATTAAAAGAACCCACATTTGACAAAGTAAAAAATATTTTGTAGGGTTTCTTTTAATTTACAAATGAACATTCAATGTATATATTAAACTATTTTTTTCCTGTATACACTTTGCTTGTACAAAGTAAGTTATAGACTGGAAGCATTTTGAAATGATATCTCCTAAGTGTTTTGTTTGTTTGTTTGTTTAAAGAAATATAAAATGAATTTTTTTTAAAAATGGAATCTTCATTTAGTTTCATTTATGAAAACAAACAAACAACAACTACTTATATAAAATAAAATTCAGACCATATATATTGTGTTAGGCATAAAATATCAACTAGCTATAATTAGTTCTACATACTAGTGAATGTAAATTACGTACATTGATAGAGATATGAAATTTATTTAAGCCTTTTTATTAAGTAGAATTGTGAGACAATGTATACATTTTAGCTTCTTATCTGTAATTTACACACTTTTCTCGTGGTATAAAAATTTACTTACTCTGGACTATTAGATTTTGATCAAATGCTAATAATTATATTCAATGCTCTTTGATCGTTTATGTTTCATATGTATCCTTGAAATAAGCTCATCTTTCTTACAATTTTTTAAATTCTACTTTGGGTGAAGATGATTAACCAATAGAATTTATACAAAGTTTTAAAAATAGGTTGTATATTTTATTAGTGTCATGAGATTTTTCTTGTCAGTTAATGGACTGTATTGTTGAGCTCATATTATCAGCATTAAATATGTATGTAACATCGTGTTAAGAGTCAATCGCTTGTAAATGAATGCTATACTTTTGAAGTATATGAAAGTACCTTGGATGAAAATGTAAAAAAATTTCAGTCCTATATGTTTTAACTGTTTCAGTAATCAGTAAATATGTTGATTATTTACAGACTAAAAGAAATACGTATTTAGACTCAATGGCTTACCGAATTTAATGAAGTTTTGTCTTAACAAGTATATTTATGTATCTTAGATTCTAATGTGATACACTCTTTAAGTATGGAATTTAATTGAAATTTACTGTGATGATCGTTCTAACACAAATATATTGATGAACACTGTTACCAATTTTGTCTATTCGTAACTGCTAAGAGATTAAAAATATATTCGTTATTTTGGAAAAGACTAACAAAAATTACTATTAATATTAAAGAGTGAACAATAAAATATTTGAAAGAGAGAGGGTTTTTTGGATATCATAGTAATTTAATAGTCTCACACTAGGATAAAACGGCCATCTAGTGCTTTCAGGTTTTTCATGGTGGTCTAGCTTCAATCGACTCATGAATTCAAATATAAAATTCATAAAATATTCATTTGAAGTGGTTTGAAGCGAAAACTAACAAACAATCCTTAAGATATTTTCAAACTTACTTGATTTTCAACAACTTTCACATGCAGTAAAATTGCCAAGTGAATAAGAGTTATGTAAAACTTGAAGTGAACATAGTTTGATCAATTAGTTCTAACGCCTGTTATACAAGTTCATTATTACTATAAATTATAAAATGAATTTCTATAGATATATAAATCCTCTATTTATATACTACTCAATTGATGGATTTATTTTATTTAATGGTTAAATTTCGTGAACATTGAATTTAACAAGAATCCTTATGAATTTCTATTAATTAGTAAAGTTGATGATTTCAAATTACTTTTAGGATCTAAATTCTTTTATTGTTCAGAAGAGATTAGACAAATGTTCATACATGAACTTGTTCATATATCATATGACTTAAGGAATCATTTAAGTGACATAAATAATGTAAATTTATTCTTTGTATATAGATTCATGTGACCGATAATGAGAAATGATTTAATATACGCATACTGAATGTTTTAGTGGGATTCAAACAGATTTTTCTCAATATTTGAATATCAACTACAAAACCAAAGACATTTTGTTTTTTACTTCTAATTTATTTTTTTTCTATTAATATAATTGACTTTATTCAATATTATATTTTTGGTACAACACAGTATTTTTAGCAAAAGGTATTTCAATGAGTTTACGTTTCTTATTTCTTCATCGGTTCCGATGATAAATACTGAGTGATCGCCAGTTAGATGTTAGCAGTTCACGAAATCGGCATGTAAATAATGAATATTCTTTTCAATGCATATATACAACCATCACGAAGTCGATGATTGTACTCTTTTGTAAATTGTCCAACGAAAGGTCGTAAACTTTTCATAAACACACTTGAATAGACTATGAAACTATTAAACATAATGATTTGTTAAAACAAACAAGAAAGCAGATAACTTGTTGAAATATCTAGATGAGAGGAACAGATATCCTAAATATTCAAACAAGCTTTATGTCTTCCACTAAACATCAGGCTAAGTCCTATCACTTTTTAAATTAGCTGTACATGTGGGGCCCTTTAATTTTGTCGTCATTTAGATCGAACGATGTTGTCGAAAGAGCTCTCCACTTTAGTGGCCCGAGATCTGAATCCAAGGCGATCGTAATGATGATTGTTCTTGAAATATATATGTCACCTATCCTCGTATATAATTATCGACTTTAATCGCGTTAGTCAATAACGGGTTTAGATAAGTCAAATAACGAGAATGGACTTTTGAATACATATATTTTGTATATATCAAGCGAATGGAATAGAACAAAGCAAAACGACGCGAAGTGGAAATGGCGGGTAAGCCAACTCCTCTTTAACCAAAAGTTAATCAATATTTATAGTTACACAAAAATAGGTTACAGAAATGTGATGAATGGGATAAGAAGGGTACAGACGTATGTGCTCATATAAAAATAGTCAAGATTGATAAGCAAATAATTAACAAGGTCAGAATGTGACTCAAATAGAACGAATAGAATGGGCTGTCCGAAAGCTAGACTAAGTTATATGGGCTTAATATAATAACGGACACTACATACATTGATATTTTTTATTGTTTATTATTGGATATTCATCTTTCAACTGTTAATCTCAATGAAAAACCATAAGTTTTCTTTTTGATCGCATTCTATAATTTTAAAGACGCCAAGTCATAATTCTATAATTAAAAAAATTTACATGATTTGTCTATACCATAGACATTAGGTCAATTTAAATTGACATTTTAAAAAAAAAGAAGGAAGAAACATCCCCTAGTTTCTAACATATTATATACATGATAAACAAACACATCAACATAGACACACACACACACACATATATATTCATAAATGAATAAACGAACACTGATAGACCTGTCTATCACACTATTTTCTTTCTCATCAAAATAATCAGTAAAATTTGTTGAAATAGAAAAAGATTTCAGTAAATTTATTCTTTCTAATTTACTAACCATTAATTTACACGATTCATATTGACTAGTAACTAAATATTATGAATATTGTAGAAGAAAATTTTGAAAGAAAAAAATACAATAAAGAAAAGTGAAATTTTATTACATGAACAAATAACATGATCATTCATTTACATTATCTAATCGTTTATACATTTTAAACAAGCTAAATATTAAACATAAAATATGATGTTTATTAGTATATAGAATTAATATATCACTATTCATAATCGTTTATTCAATGTATAATTATTTTTGGATAATAACATTGATTATTATTATTATTATGATTATGATCACTAATGGATATATTCAGATGTTACGTAATGATATATTACGTAAGTTAATATTGTTCTATGTACAATACTTGTAATTGAGAGTTTATTTATTAAGTGAATAATAAGTTCGTGGATTAATTGAAGTTAGACATTAACAATGTTGGATACTGGCTCAATGGTCTAGAGGTTAAGCGTTCATGCGCAAAACTGTTAGGTACTAAGTTCGAATCGTGAATGTGCCCTGCTGAAGAGTCCAAAAAATAGGACGAAACGGCCATCTAGTGCTTCCAGTTTTTCTATGGTAGTTGAGCTTTAATGGTCTCATGATCTCAACTATTGAAATGAATAAAAATCGTTTTATTTATTTTTTAAAAATTAAAAAACTACAATTTGTACAATTTTGATTTTTGAATGGTTCCTTGAAAAAAATACTAAAATCATTCTTCTAAAAATGATACTGATCTATTGATAGATAATTCCTATTTAAACATTAAAAACACGAAGTTCAGCAAAGAGATCTCCTTTCAACGAATTTATTATGAAGCTGTACAATTGTATATATATCAAATATTTTTTTATCAAAGTACTAGTTCCGTGAAGAAATATGATCAAGGAATGCGCAAAATAAAGTAATTGAAAGATTATAATACGAGATTACGTAATACGAATAATAACAATAGAATTAATAAGTTAGTAACCAATTATAACGTTTTTGTTACAGTAATTAAAGGTGACTGTAGATCATAGAGGTGTAAAAAACGCGCACGAACGCTTAACCTCTAGACTATTGAGTCAGCCAGACAACGGCATTCCAGTACTTCCAGGTTTTTCATGGTGGTCTAACTTCAATTGACTCATGAATTCAACTATTAAGTTATTGAAATCTCTATAAAACCCTCCTCTGATATTAAACAATTATTAAGAAATATTCTTGTCATGTCCGCACAAAATAAATAAATAGGTAAAACAGAATAAGTCAAGAGTCAACAACAAACAATTAGTATTAACGTAGGGAAAACAAGCCAATACTTATATGCGGATAGATTTGAAAAGCTACTGAATTTTATCATGATGACATTAAACTACACAATTCATATAACGAGACTCCACCAAAATCATTTACCTAAGTCACAAATCTCTACTATTTTCTTTTAAATGTTTTTAATATATTAGAAATGATAAGTAATAGCAAGTTCTATTGTAGTGAACGAGAACACAAAATTAACGAGTCTCTTGACAGAATATAAAAATCGTACATTAATTACTCCATTTACAGATATCCTTCATTTGTCTTTCACATTATTTATGATTCTTCCAAATCACAATTTCTTTCTAAGTCCATTTATGTTTTCTTCAAGTCAACCTTGATAGCCTTCTGTTGCAAGGGTATCCACTTCTGATTGGTGTTGCACACAGTACTTATGTCGACAAACATAAGTAGCATGCATCACAAATCCCATTCATCTGTTCACTAAATTAACATAATTGACACCACAATGTATTTTATACACAAATTAATCATGTTATGAATGTACACAATGTATTCACATTGACCTTCATTTCTTTTATACCATTCTTTTTAGATTATTCAATTCATTGTTATTTTGTATAGCATCATTAGTACTATTTGCATTTTGATCATATTTTTTATGTTTATATCAAGATTAGTGATGTTACCGCTTTTCATTAATGTACAGTTATTCCTTAATTCAATATAACGAACTGATGAATAACTTTTAATTTGTAATTGTGAATCAACAAATTTGATCAATATTTTTTTGTAAGTTGAGTAACTTTCCTTATAGGTGTGATCACTTCTCTTTAAGCTTAAACATTAAACAGCACTGAACTGTATTTTTTTTACTAATATGGATTAAACTATCTTGCTGATTTATTAACTTACAGACTTCATTGAGGAAATGGAATTCTTATATCTGCATCGAATGTGAATATTCTTCTTCAACACATATCTTCTTAGATTTATGGTTACTAGTTTATCTGAAAGATTATTTTTTATCTCAGATTGATGTCGGTCAGAGAATATTTCAAAAAATATGCTTAAGGTTGTTTTTCTTACAAGATCTTCATAAAAACTAAGATTTTTAGCCCCAATCTTAGTAATGATCACGTTTTCAAACTAAATCTATGGCAATTTGGTCAGCATGTAGTTAATACCTTATTTATCCCATAGTGTGGATTGAAAAGATATATTCATTAATTGATTTTTTGTCCATATCTATCAATAACTTATAATAAATAACAGTTTGATTTGAACTGTTCTGTGGTTGACCTACATTTAATTATCAGTTTTTTTGTTTATGTCCGATTTGTGTTGAGATATTAAGTTTGAGTAGTAAATATGAAAAGTTAAGTTTAAAGCTTTTAACATCGCAGTTGATAAGTACTTCATAGTTCAGTCATTATTCTGTCTAATATATATCTTACACATTTCAAATATTCATTTATGTTCTCATGGTACAGAATAATATGTAATACTTAATGACAATCGAGTACTTTGATTTATCTTCTTAGTTAATGATGGTGTACGATACGAAACGTTTATGAATTGATCAGTAATCCAAAGGTAACTGTCATACAAGATCTTACATAAATGACTTTATTATGATTACGGTATTTCAACTGATTATATGAAAAACTGAACAGTCATTGAGATATTAAGACACTCTTTGAAATGTATTATTAAATCTATAAGCTATTTTGTTTTAGAATAATACCAAGCCTGACGTTTCTTCTTAAAAAGCGCTTAAAAGCTTTTAAGGTGAATTATAATGTTTTCTAACCAAATAGTGATCTTTCATTTAACTAAATTCCTGTGAAAATCTAAATTAAATGAATTCAACCAATCGTTCATGTTAAAGTTTATTATAATGTATAAGAAATCATAGTTTATACACATATTTTTGGTTAAGATGATGAGCCAATCACTGTTAGATCACCATTGCAACCCTGGAAGCACTGGACGGCCGTTTCATCTTAGTATGGGACTCCTCAACAGTGCTCATCCACGATCACACACATGGGATTCCAGCCCAAGATCTTCGGTCTCACTCGAGAAAGCTCAACCTCAAGACCACTGAGCCGGCCGACATCCAGCGGTGTTAAGGTTTGACTCTAACCAATCTTCTATTGTCTAAGATAGATACATGTCTCTACCTGACACACATTAGCTCCAATGGACACAGCTTCTCAATAGAACTCCAAGAATTTCCTCACAAAGCTATTCACTAGTGAGCTCATGATAATTATCAGTTTGGAATTGTTGAGATTGTTATGTTTTTGATTAAGATCATAAATTGATCATTTGGTCAAGATTAGTCAAAGTGTATGTTATATATCTCACCAACATTTTTCCTTCAATCAACAATTATTTTTTGATCAAATCTTTTCACTTGTATTATTTGATTAGATTGAGGATATTTCTAATTATATTTCTACTAATGAAGATAACCAAACACCATATTGCTTACTTCAAATCCAGTATCCAACTAGTATGAAGTACATATGAATGAATTCATAAATGACACAACATATTTTACTATTTAAATAAATAGTCTAGACCAAATTATGTTTAAACATTTTGTCAATAATAATTACAAAATATTCAATTGTTTATGAATAAAAATTCCACATTTCATTACATAGAAACACATACTACTAATATAAAGTGCATTTAATAGTCTATTTAGATATTTTCGAGAGACTGTTATAATAAATAAAATAAATAATCAAATTAATAAAAATAATAACTTGTCGGGTAATAATGAACGGAAAACGTATTTAGGATATGATTTAAACAATGACATTTTGTTAATAGTTAAGACCATAAGTCAATTGAAGTTAGATCACCATGCAAAACCTGGAAGCACTGGACGACCGTTTCGTCCTACTGTAGGACTCTTCAATAATGCACTTAAAAACTTCTTGTTTTCATGTCAAAAGCTCTCATTTTTATCTGCATGTCATATTTCCCATTTGGGAGATTAATAAACGTTATTGGTTCGTGTATCTTTAGGTATGCTGTTTTGTAACGCTTCCAAAGGACATTTTTATGCTGTAAATATACGCTTGGTTTTTCCTTGTTGTTGTTTTGCGTGCTTCTTGCTGCTTGTGGAATATATTTCCCTCTTCCGAATTTAGATTTCTGTCTTTAGTTAGTTGGGCTGGATCGCGTCGAAATAGCTAGCTTATCTGTCATTGTGTTACAGAGTCCTTATTTCGTTCTCAGTTTAGGTGAACTCATAATCTCTGCAAACATTATACAAAAATTATAAACTTTCAACAAATAAGTAGTTATTGTAGCTGTTGAGATCATGCGTCAATTGAAGCTAAACCACCTTGGAAAATCTGGAGGCAGTGGTTGGCCATTTTCTTTTATTGCTGGACTCCTCAACAGTGCGCATCCATGATCCTGCCTCGCGCACGAGCGCGCCATCGCCGTCTAGTACTTTCAGGCTTTCCATGGTGGTCCAGTTCCAATTGACTCATGATCTCAAAAATTAGAATTACTACAATATTTACAAAACCCCTTCTGATACAAATATGTATTTATCATTCACAACAATAGTGAAAATTGCAACCTCAAAAACAATTTGATCTCAACAACACAAACATTTATATATAAAGACTATCAATTTTAATTCAAGTATAATCAAGGAATTCTTTCAATTTGAGTTTGACTTTATTCATAAATTTTACTTAACCTATATGTATATATCATCAAGATAAACAAGTAGTAAATAATATAAGAATGATGAAATTTGTGAGTAGTACAATTAGTTCATCGTAATATGTCCTATTATCCATGTAAAATAATGTCAAGTTCTTGGGGTTTTTTTTCCAAACAATGATTTAATATGTATTAACATAAATATAAGCTAAGAAATGAATTATTCAATAGAGGTCAATTAATTGTTTAGAAACCAATATAAAAATGTAATTCAAATGAAAAGAATTTGTAGAATTATGGTCTACTTCATTATTATTACCACTCTTATAATAGACCTAATCTTAAAATTGTAGATTTGTTGTGATGTAACTGT